CCATTAGTTTAAATGCGGAAATTTTGAGCCTTATGTTGCCTGTCTTCGACGTCACCTGGCTGCAAGGCATATATTAGCTTAAGATATATATATATATCCGCTTAGTCACTGCCTTGGATATTTGGATCATTGGATTGGGTCAAGCTATTTATTGGAAAGCCAAGTAGTTTTCTTTTCTTTAAGCATACCAATTACATTATTAGAACTAATAAATTTCTTAGCCATCTGGCCTTAACATCAATTGATTGAAATTTGCAGTTGCCATTCAATGCTTCTACTTAGCATTCAACAAAGGCTTTCATTTGCGAAAGCGATATTAGTGTATAAAGCATTTAGTCTCTAATAGGCTGAAGAAGTACCTTAAAACGAATCTCTAAAATGTTATATTTGCATTGTAAATTTCTTGGTCTGTTATCGTTCTTGCGTACTAATATAAAATTTGCACATTATTTGCTTTCTTGATTTAAGCTTTATCTGCCACTTCATTTTCCTCCTGCTCATTGTACAGACGAGCTTTGCCGACCGCTATCTGTTCGCATAGCTCATTCTGAGGCTCTTTCTTTTGGCACTCATCTCGAAGCCGAATTGGCATCTCCATCCTCTTCCTCTGCAACTACTTCCTTGCAATCCTCTCAACTTGAAACTGCAACCTCGGCAAATGGTCGTGCCGTTCCCCTTTTCGTCAATTTTCGCCCAGCGGAGGATTAATTATCAGTTCAAATGTCTATCTTTCATCGAATTCATCTTATTTTCCCTTTTTTATTCCTACCTTTTTTCTCCATTCTACCCAAATTTTAACATTTAATGTCATGCATCTACTTATAGTTGTATTTGTATGCTTATTAGCCCCCTTAATTTTTGTCTTCTTCCACTGTCTGCGTCATTTAAATCCGTCGTTCTCTTGATAACTACGTACATATTTTCTCATTTGATATAGTATGTTTTTATTCGCTCTCCGCTTTCCAAGTATCCTGTTTTCAGTGGATGCATATGTTCTCGATTAGCGCCATTTCATTTATATGTAATAGGCAAACCTCGGGATGACTTACACTTAGAGATCCCATAACTGAGAGGAGAGTTTATTATGCCTCATCTATTTTTGTAAACACCCTAAAAATCCCATATACTTTTATCTAGGCTTTTATCATAGACTTGAGATTCGCACAAGGTACAGAGTCATTTATAGTGTGAATCTGGCAACGCCATTTGCCTCTTGCTTCATTTTGCTCCACTGTTTTATTTATTTGCATATTTATTTATCTGAATTTTATTCTTAGGCATGCTGTCGAGTATGTACTCCACATACATGTATGCATACATGCACAAGTATACTGACATTAAAATCCGGCGGCCTAGAAGGCCATGTGGACTTTTGAAGAAACGGCAGCACAAGTCAGCCGCTCCCTTGATACTTAAAACTTACAGCGCCTCTTTCGATGGCCTCATCTATTGCCATTAATAATTAAATATTAGACTCCGCCGCCATCTTTTCGGAAGCAAGCTCTTCTGCAATCTTGCCTTCATACTGGGCGATCGGCGTAAGCTTTTTACTCTCAACACATTCTCATTTGCTCACGACTTGTCATACCTATACCTCATCGTTTCTTTAATTATATATATATATATAAACTTATAACAGTTTACGATTATGCCATTTTCAGTGCAATAGAATTCTTAGTATTTCGAATCATTCAGCAAACTGACTTTTCTCTAACTTGTATCGTCTTGATTCATCATACCTCCTGCGTTTTATGATTTTTTCCCTTGAGCGCTTTAACTTTCCTTATTTTCGTCCTACTTTTTATCATGTCGATCTCTCATTTGGCAAAAAGCCCCTCATCCGCTGTTCGCGTTCCTACTCTCCTACCGCTTTAGTAAAAGACGACATTTGTTGTCGACATGTCTATTATTAATATTTATCGCTAACACATAAGTATACATAAATATATATTACAATATTCATATATTACGCATCTATCTACCTTTTCCCAGCCATCCCACACATGCATAAGCTTCTTTCTCTACCACCACCAACTAATCGAATGCCCATTGACTTGCTCATTTCTTTTAATGTGTGTACAGTAGGTAGGGCATTATTTTTCTCTTTTCTAAACACCCAAATAGCCGTTTCAAATTCCAGTCCCTTAAAATCTGCTATACTTCACGAACTAAGCCTTGACCGCTTTATCGGAGAATTTTTGGGCGCCCTGCCATTTCCTACATTTCTCATTTGTTAATGATTATTTTCCTTAAGTCGATTTACCTCACTTATTCGCTGTTACTGCATTTCTTGCAGCATCTTGATCAAGCATCTATATATTTTTTTCTATCCACCCTACCTCGAACCATGCCCTTTCAATCTACTCATAACATCATCCTTTCACTATATATTTCTCATACTTATCTGTTTCAAATAACAACTATGGATTTATTCCATTTCAGCTGACTTATCTTAGCAAAAGGTTGATACAATTTGTGTCTTTCATCCCCCAATGCAATCGATTTCACTTTTTTAAGCAGAAAAATCGAAAAGCAACACTAGCCATTATCCAATTCCTCATCGCATAGATTCCAACTGAAGATTCCATTTTCACCACTACTCGTTTCCCCCTGCGCATCTGAATGTTTGCTTGATAGAAGCGGAAGGGGGAGGGTAGGAGAGTCGTCATCTCACACTCAGGTTCTATTCCCATGATGCTCCCAACTTAGAGTTTACTTTTTGAATCATATTCACATTTTATCATTATCCTAGATTGGTTAATCAATTTAACACTAAATTTGTCATAATTTTTTGTTCTAGCGACATGAATATACTTGAACTGTCCAGTCAATTGTAATATAAAGCAATTTATTTTTATGTAGAAAATTTATCACCGTGTTTTTGTGGCTTTTTTAAACCATAACGACATACAGTAAAAAGAAACTGCATCTGAACTTCATCTGTTTTAGCTGGCTAAATTTATTCAGCCTAGATCATTTTCAACTTTCTTATCATTTATTTTGATTGCCAAAGATCATAGCGCATGTACTCTTGTCCACTCAAACATTCGCACATATCCTGTCGTGCTTCCCTCTGCCTTAAACTAGCACTCATCTGTTTTATTATGTAGGCAGTGATCGACTGGTGGACAGAGTGCTCAAATGTTCACACCCCTTAACTATTTTCTCATTCCCTGCTTGCCTTTCCTTTGTGTTTTTAGAGCACTATCCCCCCATTTCCTCATGGTAAGCCATGAGCTACCGAGCACCAGCGCCATCTCTTTCGCTCAATTCATTCCCAGTTAGTTTCAGTCCCAGCCATCTGTCTCCACCCGTGCAGCCTCTTGTTTTTACCCGCTTCTTGCTTACTCTGTGTCGAGAGGATGTTCAAAACGGTTACGGGAAATACTCCGCTTCTCTTAAACTTAGTTTCTCCTGTGCTTTTTATGTACTTCTCAAACGGTTGAATGGCGAGATGTATGCAGGTATAGGCGTTGGGGCTGAAGCGGTAGGACTAGGGTTAATTTGTATTTTTACTATGACCCAGGCCTTACTCGCGTCAATTCTGGCCTATACCTATCAATTTTCTTCTTGCACATTATTCCGTTCCATAAATTTATCCTCCTGCATCCATTTCTTTCGCGTTCCATTATTTATTGACTCCACCTCGGCATCTTCATATCTTCTATTTCATATCCATCGTTTCACTGCCCACCGGATACTAACTGTCTCGATTAGGATTTTTCACAAATACATCTTTGTCATCAGATATCATATTTATCTACCTCTTATTAAATGGTGAACGGGCTCAATGTGGCGTAATAAACAGGATATTTTGAGCTGGACTTGGTGACAAGATCGACTTGGAATACTACGACTAATCCATCACCTCGCACAGCATGTTAAATCACTTAACTTGAGTGGCCACTGTCCTGTTCTAGAAAGCCAATTCAGTGCTTTTCTTTCATTAATCACGAGGGTCATATAGAACGAGTTCACTGATTTAGAATCCGACCAAATAAGAAAAAAATAAGAGCCATTTCTGCTTAAAAAACCTGCAGTGCGCTTGGCTTAATTCGAGATTTGTAAAGCCCAATAGAATCGCGCTTTTAGGCTTATTATTTCTAAAGAAAGGTTAGCCTGAAGAGACTATAGAATTTTCCTCACCAAAAACCGAAGGTAATGTGACCAGTTTCAATAAAAAGTCCTCGATGCAACGTCCCGCGACTTCCACTAATCTGCCTGTCAGATGTGAGACACCGTCAGAATATAATTACTCTTTCATAAGACGACAAAATAAACTAAGTGTAGCAGTAGGACGTGACATTATGTACACAGCATGGTGTCTACATTCACGTAAAGCTTGCATAATATTAGCTAAAAATTCAAGTGGATAATTTCAATCGAACTGCGACTGGACACTGAAAACAATACTTTTGAGCTAGTCATCGTGGGTATATTAGTATTGATTTGCATATACTGTATGTATACAGTGTTCATGCGTAATGTAGGGTATGAAGGGGATAACAAATTAAGCTAATCAGACCTTTCCTTACGCTACGGTTCCCCTGCCCCTCTCATCCTAACCGAGTTTGGTGCACATATTTGCAGGCAGGTTGGTCCTGAATGATAGTCTACATGTAGAGGCTATCCTGAGGGCTCTGTCTTATTCTGATGGCTCAATTTTTACTAGTTCATCTGCCTTTTCCGAGAGCTCATTAAATGGGAAAATGTTGAGAGGTTCAGCTACCAGACTTCACTTAGTGTCTGGTGAAGCTTTCTGCAGAAATTTGTTCTTACATTTTCTAACATGACATACTAAAGCTCATCGCAGGCAAAACTCTGGTCTTCGATTGAGCCATTTTATCAATCACTTCCAGCCAGCTTTTCTTTAGAAATGAGCGATCAGTGGCATATGTAACGAATATGGTGAGTCAAAATTCTGCTCTATCATTGCTTACCTAGTCTACACAATGAACTTTGCGGCTATTCATGTGGTCAAGGAGGGCGATTTCTTCGTAAAAATCTACCTATTTCGCTCGCAGCTTGGGAGACAAAGATGTGACCTTTGGTCTTCTCTTGAGTTTACGCATCTGAAAGCGGTAGGTGCTTGACGTGTTTTGTACAAGGCTTAAGCGTAAACGGATGGCGGACTGCGAAAGGTAATGTACCAACCTTATCATTAACCACTAACAGAACCTCGAATTCTATCTTGGCTCACTTCAATTGGATAGGTTTGGATCACTATTCGGATTGCACAACGACAATTTTTTATTCATCGTAAAAAAGTTGATCCCTAAATAAATCTAGAAGTGAATATCCCGAGAATATATCAGCGTGTTCATGATGAAGATTGAGGATAAGGTCGCGAATTTTTTCTCGAGATTATTTTTGAGTGTTTTGGACGAATCAGATAACCAACCGTAAGTACATTACAAATAGATATCAAGAATCATCCCAGCAGCAGCACGCAAGATGCTACTCCAAATAGACGTTGACCGAGAAAGTGATCACAGCTTGCCTATGTAATGTGCTATATTTGGGATTTGTAGATCATCGGAAATGAAAAAAACACGGGCCGATTAGAATGCAGAGGTATCTTGAGCAAGCACTGATTGCGAGCGAGTGGTGTTATGTTAAAATCACAATATATGCAATGCAAAAAATAGCGGCTTAAGCCTTACTTTGTCCGACTGGGGAATACAAATCTCACCGTAATTTGGTTTAAC